CAAAGTTGGGTTACCATTGCAAAAACTCTTACGTAATAGACTTTAATTACATTTCCTTCGAGGCAATATACTTGATCTCTCGGTAAGCTTTTCGTAAGTAGATTCACGATGTTCTTCTTAGATTTCAAATGATCAATGGAAATAATATCATTCGAGATCAATTGCCTAATGGTATTGTGTCTATGACATATTTGTCTAAACTTACCATTACACATACTGTTTTGTACCCTTTCAATAGCCGATTAACTATGACAATGTATACCTATAGCAGGTACAGGCTTAGGCTAATATGAAATGTCCTCCAAAAAATTAGGAAGTCATTCTGTTTGTTCACTAGTTTTATCTAAAGCAATAACTACAATTCCATTGTTAATCGAGTTATACAAGTTTGCTTTGTGGATTTCTAAGACTCAGCATAGCCGCCAATGATAAAGTCATAATCAATAGTAGACTTGAAATCCTTTATATTGGATATTTAATTCGCAGCACAATATCCTTCTAATACTGCGAGATATTTTGTGAATGTAATTCAAAGATTAACGTATATTTTAGATACGTAAAAACCCTATTTAAAGCCTTCCAATTATCATGGCATGAATTACTTGTGAACCTACTAAATTTATTCACAACAAATGCTATATTCAATCGAGTGCAGTTCTTAGCATGCATTAAACAGCTTATAACTTGTGAATATTTTAATTTAAACATCGGCTTACCCTTATTCTTGACTAAGTGTAGACATAAAACAATAGGGGTTCTTGCTAGACATTCCTCATATATATTAAATCTCTTAAATACACTCTCAACGTAATGAGATTAGAAAAATACAATTTCATTAGATGTTCCAGAGATCTAAATCCCTAACATCACACCAGCTACACCATGCCCTTCATGTCAAAATGTTTAGTTGACATTTTCTTGTTTTAGGATTATGTCATGACTATTGCCATAATTAACATGTCATCAATATATAAACATACAATTCAATAGGCTTTAAGTGTATGTTTTAGGTATACACACTTGTAACACTCATTTGATAATATGGAAAATTCTCTGTGTACACCTTATGGTATACACACAGGCTTACACCCCTTTCACATGGAGGGGGCCCGCGAATATTTTATTACATGTGGGGCCCCCTCCATGTGAGGGGGTGTAATGCTATGTGTACATCATTGTGTACACATAGCATTTCCCCGATAATATAGTTTTGTCAAACTTTTGGTGTCATTGCATTGGAGTTTGCTTCAACCCATACAAGAACTTAACAAGTTAACAAAATTTTCGTTCTTGGTTAGCAGCAATGAATAATTCAGTTTGTTCCATGTATAATTTTTCTTCTAATTCGCTGTTCAAAAAGTCATTTTCACGTTCATTTGATAAATCTCAAGGTTATACAATTCAACGATTGCAATCAACTACCTTATCGAAGTGATTCTAGTAAGTATCAAAGAAGTTATGTCTTTCCTTTTGCATATGGCTTTTGGCAACCAACATGGCATTTTTGTTTATCAATGGACCTATCCGATTTTAATTTCTTTTTGAAAATCAATTTATACCATAAACTATAAAGGCTTATTTCCAGGTGGTAAATTAACTAATTCTCAAGTATGATTTTGCATTCCAGAATTTATCTCACTATTGATAGTTGGCACTTCGATGTAGATATTGATTCACTAAATGTCTTCGAATCATCTTCTACCATATATGATAGAAAATCAGGATCATATAAAGTAGATTTTCTTGTCCTTTTACTACGATTTGGTTCTTCATCGTTTGTAGAAGTACCATTTGTAGTTTTATATGTTTTCTTATTTGAACTTATATTTTATTTGTCTTTGCACGAAAACATATTTTTGAAAAAAGAAGCATTTTTTAATTCTTTTATGGTGCCTTCAAGTATATCTTGAATATCAAACTTATGAGAAATAAATCAATATGTATTACTATTATTTGCGTATCTAATAAATCTGTAATCAACCGTCTTAGGCCCAATTTTTACTTGTTTCAGCTTTGGGACTTCAATCTTAGTGCTTTTTTGGTAGGGATTTTGTTAATTGATTTTTTTTTTACCGTTAGAGATAAAGTGAGTCCTACTTGTGAATAAATAATTCAAAAATGATGTCTGAAATAGTGAAATAGTGGTCAAAAAATTGATATTGATTGAATTAAAATATCTACCAAACATGCTCTTAACCAAACACCCCCACACTTTCAAGTGTTTATAAAAATAAGGATAATATTTCCATAATTCATATGGAGTTCATCCATTTTTCATTTTTTTTTCTTTTTTTTTTTTTGAAGTATTTTATTTAGAATGCTATTTGCGGAAATATAAATTTTCTCCACATGTTTTGGAGTAGTCCCAAACTAATCAACATTACATTCATCATCTTCTTAAGAGTTCGATTTTACATTCAACAACACCATTTGATTTAGGTGAGTAAGGTACCATTGTTTGATGTATGATGCCATGTTCGGAACAAGATTCTTCAAGCAGTACCCCGTATTCTCCTCCTCCATCACTTCAAATATTCTTTATTCATTTACCAAGTTGATCTCAATTTTTGTCTTATAATATTAAAAAACATCAAAGGCTTCATTTTTGCTTCTTAACAAACAGATATACAATACTTTGTAGAATTATCAATGATTGTGATAAAATATTTCTCCACACCTTTAGTTTAAACAAATTTCAAATCACATATATAACTGTGTATTAATTCTAAAGACGTGGTGTTCATTTGAACAGAATGAATTGGTGTTCTGGTCAATTTTGCTTCATCTCAAATTTCACATTTATAACTAGGATTAAACTTAAGCGTTGGTATCATACTTAGATTCATAAGTTTACGCACAAATTTCTAGTTTGCATGTCCTAATCAATTATATCATAAACAAAAAAACTCAAGCATATAAGCAGAATTTAAATTTTTATTAATAATGCTTTGCTTTGTTACAATAGTAAAAACGTTCATTTTTAATATTATGTTACACAAGTATCATTTTTCAACATATAACTCATTCTTATTGAGTACAAATTTATTGATACAAATACAAATTTAAAGTCATTTTTGCGAAGTAGAGACCTAGAATATAATGTTCATATGTTCGACACATGCAAGACATTGTTGAGGACGAGCTCTTCGCCAAAAATCATCTTCAAAGTAACTTTTCCTTACCCTTCAACCTTAGAACTTGCAGAATTTTCCATAAAGAGTTGTCTCCAATCAATTCTATGTAGTTTGAGAACACTGTCTTGTCTGCACAAATGTAGAGATAGCTCTAGTATCAACCCACCATTCTTTTGGATTTCCAACGTTGTTACATTTAAAAATAACAGCAGACATTCATTTCTCGTATCCCTTCAAATATAGTGTTTTCTTCAATTACATTTGCTTGTGCATTCTTTTTAAGCTTGTGACATTCACTAGATTGATGTCCCACTTTGCCATAGTTATATTAGTTGCCTTTAAATTTCTTGACATTCTTAGTGTTGTCTTTCTTTAGTGCATCACCCGAGACCTTGCATTTTTTATTGATCCTTGAGCCGAATTCTACTAAATTGGCTTTGGATTGTCAAAGTTGAACGATAATACTTCCAACTTGATAGCAGCAACTTGGAACAATTCATTTAATGTCATTTTCTCCGCATGAGTGTGATGAAGTAGAACCTGCAATTCTTGCACTTGACTAATGATAGTTTTGGAGTCTATCATCTTGTACTCTATGAACTTTCCGACAATGAACTTCTTCTTGTCGACGTCCTTCGTCTTGTACTTTTTCTCGAAGGAATCCCCGAGCTATTTGGCAGATTCTATTGCACTATACACATCGTATAATGTATTGTGCAATGTATTTAGAATGTAGTTCTAGCATGAGAAATCTGAGTGCTTCCAAGCATCTAATGCAATAATTGATCCCCAATTATTTGTTGCTTCTTGTACGGCGAGAGGATCTTTGCTTAAGAACCTTGCCAAGTTCAAGATAATAAGATAGAACAACATCTTTTGAAATCCACACCGCTGAATTTCTTCAATTTCTCTCCATGTAGAATTGGAGTACTTTTGAATTGGTATAGCCAATGATGGAACGATATTTGGCGCTGAATTCAATATTGGCGGAACCATATTATTTGTACCATTTGTTGTTTGATTCGTATTAGTCTCAACGATATCATTACAAAAACAAAAATTCGACGCAGAAGAATTAAGAATGGAACAACACTTACGCTTATTCCTAAAGATGAAAAGAATCAGTTTTTGAAACCCAAAAAAACAATGAAAAATCATCTTAAACTTAAATAAAGTATATTGTTTTCAAGGTGTATAGAATTTTGGTATGAGTTTAACAAAGCAGAACCTTGTTAAACAACACAAGAAAATGGTAGAAAACAAAAAAGAAAACCAAAGAAAGAAATGGAACAAAAGATCCAAGGCAAGTGTTCAATACTTTGTCTTTTAGATGAATTTATCTAGCAACGGTGCTAACAAAGGTATGACAATTGTCTCCCAAAATATAATGGATAACTCTTTGTAGGAGAAGCATTTCAAACTATGAGGCCAAGGCAAAATCGAAACAAAATTCTCTCTACAATTTCAAAAATTTTATATGAAAGAAAAGAATGATTTGACAAGAGAATTTGATGCAAGAATCATGTAGAATGATATGGTATAACTTAATGACGTCAAAGGAGTTCAATTTATAGAAGGTGAAGGATTGTAATTGAATAGACATGCCCCAAAACTTAGCATCTTTCATCAAGAATAGCAACCCTTCGTGGCGTTCGCCTAGCGCCCCGTGGCGTCCAAGTGCTATTAACAGAGACCTGTTAGGCCGCACGCTGAATTCCTCATTTTTTTTCCTTCGAACCTTGGATCTCAATTTTTCAATTTTTCATTCATCTGAAATTAATTTTAAAATTCTAAATATATTACGATCATCTACTCGATGATTAGAATAAATTAATCTATTTATTATCATAATTTGAATATCACATAAGTCCGAATAATAGGCAAAAGTTGATACAGAATTAACTTTTCAAAGTTCTACATAACCAAATTTCATCTTCTTTGAACCAAATCAACAAAAACAACCTTCTGTTGCTAAACACTTTCATCATCATCTCCATCTTCTATTCAAAAACTACTTTACTATAATACAATCACTAGTCCCAAAATGTAATACTAAACTGCCGTTTAATTTCTTTCTTCTAAAACCACGTGAACTTCCATTTTCACGATATAGTAAAAACAAAAACCCGAATAGAGAAAACCAATTGGCGAAACAGTGTTGATTTGGGTTAATAAGTCCACTCCTGGGGAAGCCTCGGTTCTTGATTCACTGCTGGTTGGGCCCTCAGATTTTTGTTGTGGTTCTGCTCTGAAATCTGGAGATTGTTTCGATACGTCGAAGCAGCATCTGCATACATTAGAAACAAGATGAGCAAGACGTGCTCTAATAAATATAGATTGTCAGGAATAAGGCCTATTTCAAGATTCATCCCAACAACCTCCGTTGACAAATATACAGATATCAAATAGGAGGCAGATACAGAAATTGAAAGTAGTAACTATTACAACAAGATTTTCGAGGAAAACTCTAGAACCCGGAAAACCACATAAATCGTGGTGTATGTTACCATAGTCTGGGATCTGTGGACGTGGCTGGGTATTCATAGACTCTAAATTCAAATTCAGGGCCTGAGCAACTTGATCTGGTATCAGAAATGTGGAACATCCTGCATTTAACAAACAATATTTAAAAAAACTCAGCACATTTCAAAAAATTCAATTAAAACCCACTAAAATAGTTGAAATGTTTACTTTAGTCATAAAGTACCAATAATTTTGAAAAAAAGGCAGATCTAGACCAAACATGACTGTGAACACATCCAAGGAAACAGTATACTCCCTTGTGATCGCCAGATACTCCCATAAAATTTCGAAGGCCGGCCGTGTTAGACCATGGTTAAAAGTAACTTAAAAGCATATTTGACTCGGTTATAAACAACCGAAATCATGCTGAGTAAATACAAGACTTTTACACATTATAAAATTGATTTTTAATGGACGAGACAATAAACCTGGTTTCTTGCGAGTTCCAGTAGCGGGTTCAAATCTTCTAGGCAAGAAAACACCGGTTCCTGAACGTTCTTTTTTGGTCCCCCGATCACCAAGAAACACCGCCCTCATGCCTGACCCCGGCTGTAGTTCACGTTTCTGTTGAGATTTTGGTAAAGTAGGCCAAGCAGCCACTGATAACCCCTGAGATCTTTCTCCATTTTTTCTAACACTCTGCACCATCTGTTGGTACCCAATTTTCTCCTGTCCCAAAAAACCACTTCCCTGCCGTTGCTTCATCATAGAATGCAGCTTCAACTCCTGGAACTTGACCAAGTAAAAACAGTCAGTCAAGAACTTCTAAAATATCATAATTGATAAGAAGTACTGGAATACTGCGTACTTGGGTAGCTTGTAATTGCCGATATGAAAGGTGGCTTTGATTTGCGAATATCCCAGAGCCATAATTTGGCTTTTTGAGTGGTGCCGTAACATAGCCGGGCTTTCTAGGAGGTACCAGGACTCCACCAACTCTCTTGTTGCTCGAGTAGAATCCATTTGCTTCTTGAATCATTCTCATCCTAGCCGCCTCCTCTGTGGCCGCATACAGCAAATCCCACGCGGCTCCATCTTTCAAGTTGACACGCGGATGCGATGAAACACGTGAAATGCAGCAGCTGGACCTATGCTTGCATTCACACCAACCCGTAACACTGCACAAAGTTGATTGTGGCGAACAAGAGAGCCCCATACCCTACACATAAATAATAAATCCTAGATTAAACCACATTTCTCGTGCAACAAGTGGGAGAGGGAGGGTATACCTTTGGGTTTTCGAAGGGGCAGTTGGGATCTCGAAGAGTGGAGTTAGCAATTTTTCGAGTTAACCCAGTGATGTAGTCATCCTCGTCGCTCTCATTCTCGATTGACTCAACAGGTGAACTCAGATTGGAGTTGGGCCTGTAAAAGTTTTCAAACCCATAGGGATCATCATGCCTTTTCCCCTTGTTAACGTTAACCCTGTACTTCATAAGTTGTTTCTCATCAGCTAGAAACTCCGACGGCAGCCATAACTCTTCCGCCATCTCTCTACAAGAAGTTATCCTTACACCTGAAAATGCAAGTTGGGTATATATAAACAAGCGTGCGTGCGTGCGTACAAATATCTACAACTGGAAATTGGGGAGTCTTAAAGTGGATTTTGAAAGGGATTAACGTTTGCTGCTTGTTGAAGGTTTAATTATAGCCACCAGTGTAATACTGCTGGCTGGTTCCCGCAGGGGAAAAATCACAGGGACCCAGCACAACATGGAGAGAGAAAAGGTCTGCGAGGGAAGAATGAGGATTAGGAGGGGAGTCCTTTTATTTTTTATTGGGAAAAGTTCACTACTAGTTCTCAATCTTTTATTACTATAGCGACATTAGTCCTTAATCTTTTAATTTTTTTTTCTTTTTTGAAAAGCTTGTTATTTGATTTTAGTTTCAAATTTTTCCTTCGAAAGTTGTAAGAATTATTAAGTAAAAATAGAATATGTTTGAGCTCCATTATTTTTTAAGAATACATTTTGAAATAATAGATTAATATAGAATATGTAGTTAAAATATAGGCAAAAGTTTTGAATTTGCCTATAATATTATTTTATTGAAAAATGTATAATT